AGATTCGGGAGAAACAAGCAGCTCTCCTCTCCGTGGCAAAGGTGGCCTCCAACACCAAAGCGTAAGAACCTGAAGAAGGTATCACTTCCGGGTGGTCAGCCCGGCTCCAACTGATCGGCCTCTCCAACGAGTGCATGAACTTTGGGGCTTCAATGGATACAACATTCACCTCACGAGACTGTCGACGCCGGCTGCTGGATGGGCCGCCGACTGCTGAGGAGGCGGAGGCGGCTGACCAGCAGGCGGCGGTGGTTGCAGTCCTTCGCCCTTGGAGATTCGTGTGAGCCAATGAGACTTCCGGGTGGTGTGGTTGGACGGCTTCGCGCCGCTGTGTAACTTGTAGGGAGCATCAAGAGTCTGCTCATAGGAGAAGGCGGGTAACCAGTTGGGCTTGCCGCCCTTCTGGCGCTTGGGAGGAGGTTGTCTTTCCGGCTGCCGGTCTTCGACTGCTGCCACCTGCCGGTTGGTGGAAGCCTGCATCGGGGCTTTCCTCTTGTTGTCGCTTTGCTGCTGTCGCCAACTAGCGTCACCAGCCGGGGTCCGAGGAGCTTGAGGAGCCACATTATCGGATGCATCAACCTGGATCTCCATCTTCATGGAGGAATCGGCCATGGCGTACTTGTCCGCTATGATTATCAGCTCGTCGAGGGTCGTCGGCTCGTCGCAGAGGAGCCGGTGTTTAAGCAAAGTGCCTTCTCTGCACCCGGCCATGAAGTACTCGATGGCCTACACCTCGTGCACGCCCTCGCAAGAGTTGCGCAACTCGGCCCAACGCGTGAGGTAGTCGCGAGTTGATTCGTTGGGGCCTTGGACGCACAAGGAGAGCTGGCGGGGCTTGGGCGACCGCTTGTACGTGCTGGGGAAGTTGCAAACAAAGGCCTCAGTGAAATCCACCCAGCTGTTGATGCTGCGGGGCTTCAGGCTATTCAGCCATGTCTGGGCCGTGCCCTAGAGCATGAGTGGAACATAGTTCACAGCAACACGCTTGTTGCCATTTGCTATGCTGACGGCTATGGAGTAGTCAACCAGCCAGTCCTCCGGCTTCACGGAGCCGGTATACTTGGGCGTATCTCTTGGGAGCATGAACCCTTTGGGGAAGGGCACATCTCTAATGCGGGGGCCAAAGCAAGGCAGGACCAGCGCGTCTTCTTCATCTAGCGCCAGGGATCGATTGAGACGATCGATCTAGTGGCGGGCGTCATTCTCTTCGATTCCTTCTCGAGGGCCAAGCCGGCCTCCAACACTCGGGTGATCGACGGGCGGTGGAGACACGCGTCTTTCTCTGTGCTGAGGAGGCCGGTAGCCGCCTGGTCGTTCCACCGTGCAAGGGCGACCGCCTTGGTCACGCTCGATGGTGATGTGCGTCCGGCTGTGGCTGGCAGCCGGCTCCTTGTCTCGTCGTCTGTGGTTGCCATCAGTCGGCGTCTAGGACATCACGCCATGCTCCTAGCGGGGAGGCAGGTCATCATTCCATCAATTGGGGTCCTCGACGCGGCAGCCGGCTTCTTGCTGCTTGGCAGCTGCATTGATGACTCGCTGGACGCACTCCGTCATGTGGGGATGCTCGTCGCCTTCAAGGTTGTCCAGCTCATCTGCTGCCGCTTGGGCAGCTCGTATGTTCTCCATAGGCGTGGCGTAGACGGGGCGATCAGCCCGAACATGCTGGCAATGGCCACGCCGTGCTGCCGGACCGTACCGACGTGGCTGGCCCCGCCAGGAGCCGGCGTGCCGCGAATGGCGCGGTCCATCTCGCGCTGATAAGCCTCCGAAGGCGTCTCATGCTAGCTAGCTTCTTGGCACTCTCGACAAGCTGGACGCGGCGGGCTTCCAGCGTCTCGGCGTCGGCGTCTTCTGCGATGGGTGCAGACAGGTCTTGCATCGTCGCCTGGAGGGGGCCCTGGGTACTGTCACAGGAAACTCCATCTTGGCTGATGATGAGCACCTCCGGGACGGTGCTGCCGCAGCTGTCGGCGCGAGGGAGAGGATCACCAATGATCACCACGTTGGTAGGGAATGCGTTGAGCGACGCTGTGTCGGAGTCGACAAGCGTCGGGTCGGTGGAGCCAACCGACTCCAAGTCAGCGGCCGTCTCGTTGGCGACGTGAAGCTGGTCGAGGAGGTTGACGAGACGGCTTTCGGGGCCATCGTTGCTCGCGTTGGATGCGGGCTCGTCGGAGTGGAGTATCTCGCTAACATGGTCGGCGAGGCAGCTCGCCGCGCAGGCGACCTCCACACCATGCAACGCGTCGGAGTAAACGCCATCCGGCGTGCCTGGCTGGCTGCGCTCGGCAGGGAGGAAGAGGGTTCCCGTCTAGAACATATCTCCAAACGACGGTGCACCTAGCCCCACGGTGGGCGCCAAATGTCGGGGGTTTGGTGTGACATATGCCAAAGGATGGCTAATCATGATGGGGGCTAGTAAGCCGTCGCCCGTGCTAGGAAACGGGATGAGGCGAAGACATGCACGCCGGCGAATCTTACCCAGGTTCAGGGCTCTCCTAGGAGATAACACCCCTAGTCCTACTCCACGGGGTCTCCGCATGATCACTAAGGCACTAGCAAGAACAATGGTGCTCCCCGAGCTGTATGCGAGAGGTGGAAGAAGGCAGGGCTAGCTTCCTCCTCTCTCTATGTGTGTCTAGATCTAACAGTGCTGGGAACCCTTTGCATGGGTGCCCTGGGGGGTTTATATAGGCCTACCCCCCCAGGGGTACAATGGTAATCTTGCCGGGTGTAGGACCCGATTGTCAGTGTCTTCTGTCGCCGGCTCCTTCGCCGGCCGCTGGGGCCCGCCGCCTGGTGGGCCCTGTCGGCTGGTCTGTACGGAGCCGACAGGCCGCCTCCGCCGCTTGCGGGTCTGACCGGCTGCTTGTGACAGTAGCCGTATTGCTAATGACACATGCTTGGTTGGGGGGCGTGGCTACAGTCCCGCCGTCTGGTGGGAGATCACTGTAGCCGCACCATGTCTCCTCTGGTTGATGGCGCGTGGACTTCGAGGGAAAAGTGGGCCGCCTGCTGGAGGCCGGCCTCTCTCGGGTCCGACTGGTCAGGTGCCGCCACTCTCTGGGTTCTCGCTGCCTGGTAGGGCCCGCCGCCTGCAGGCCGTACCGATAGGCCGTCATGGGAACAGGGTCTCGCCTGACAGTGGCGACGTCAAGAGCAGGATGGCAACAGTTCCGCGCCATCCGGAGATATCAGCCGGTGCGGGACACTGTGGCCACGCCCCGCCCTGGATATGGGGGTGATGGACAATTTTTGAATAGTTTGTGGCCATTTTGCATGATAAAAATAAATTCGGCCCTTATAAATTTGGTCATTTTGCATTTGTATTGAACAAAAAGAACTAAATTTTCTAGGCAATGCAAATTGTTGTGTAATTTCAAACGATGGAAAAAAGCCAACATGTTCACAAAAAACAGAGCAACCGATGGAAAAAAAAACGTCGCAATTCGACGGCCCAACCAGAGCTTGGTTTCCTTTTGGGCCCAATAACTACGTTTTTTCGCGGAGTCAGGATTGGGCAAGCAGCCAAGTAAAACCAACAGGATCACCTCTCGCAAATCACCCAACAATCCAATGATGTTGAGCCATCCATGTGATCCAACGACACAGAGCCTACACGCAGCCTGCCCACCGAATTCCTTCTAGAAGACCACAACTGAGGGTTGTCTCTTAGGGCCAAGGTATGATCGGATGGCTGACATCCGGAGCTACGGTTAGGCGAAACCCCGCGGAGTTTAGAGGGGTTTTGATTTGGTCAACGGGGTTTCCAAGGCTTTGACTGAGAATAACTAATTTAAAAAAATCGGAAAAATATGAAACGTTCGCCGTTTGTCGTTTTATAAGACACACTAACAAGGAAAAATACTAAACTTGGTATATGGTCATTTTCAACAAGAAAAAAAACTAGCTGGCACGATCGAGGTCAAATGAGTACCATTAATTTAAAAAAATCAAAAAATATAAAGCCTGCGCATAATGTTGTCTTATGTGACTTGTTACCAACCAAAAATCATAAACTTGGTCTATGGTCATTTTCTTGAAAAAAACCTTTACACATATGAGCTATCACGTACAACATTTCATGGAGTTCAAGGAGAGGTGGTAGGGTTACCTTCTCTTTTTGAAAAATTTGAAAAAAATCAAAAAATCACCAAAGCTTTATTTCAAAGTGAATAAGATGGATCTGAACTGAGTTTTTCCATTTTCATATTTTAAACGTGTTTTAATAGTTTTTATATTACAACATATTTTTCAAAAGAAAATGTAAAATTTGAAGATCAATTCAAAAAATAGTGAGACTTCGAATCTACACTATATAGATTGAATATGTGTTAATAAAAAACATTTGGCTCATTTAGAGTAGGTCCAAAAAAACATGATTACAAATGGGGTTGTTTACCCTAGCCTGGGAGCTCATTTGGAGCACATTTCTCAAATTTAAATTTATTTGACCTCCTCTAAATCACCTCAAACTATGCACACCGATCTCCTACACAAACATAGATAGGTTTCCAAGGTTGTTTTTTTGAATTTTTTGCATTTATGTTGTCCTGCTGAATCTCAGTTCAAAACATCGGATAATGAGACATGCTGGTGGGAAACGCATGCATTTGATTAATAAACATGAGACAAATAATTAGGATAATACTCCTTGATTACAAAAATCATTACAACTTCATTCAAATGTTGTTTTTTGCTCTATTATTAGAATATTTGATAAAATGATGGACTATTTGCTCTTTTTTCTTATTCTTTGTAGCATGTCTGATCAGTGAAGCAACACTGAAACAACATGTGTGATCATTGCAGCACCTAAACTTTGAAAATAAACACTGAAACAAATCATAGCAGACAAATTTAAAAACACATAAATACCCAATATAGATAGCCACATGCATATATAGAACACATCATAGTACCATACCATCCATAGAACACGTCCAGTTCACACACAAAGTTCACCAAACAACCAGAAGTAATTAAAACACATCATCAGATCACCGGGGAGTCAGGACTTTCACGAGGGCAGCATGCCCCCTGATCTTGTAGTCCTCGCCATGGATGGCTACATCTTCTACATGAGCTACAAGGTGAACAAAGCGGCCGGACTTTGGCTTTCGCTTGGTGGTGCAGTAGGGGCAGCGCCAAATGTTGGTCTTGCGCTTGTAGTAGTAATCATATCCCTTGGCCCTAATCTTCTCCTCTTCCTTCGCTTTGAAGGACACGAAGTTGCCATCGTCCACATCCACATCTTCTCCAGAGACATACTGCACACACGAATGAATTACATTAATACATTATAGATTCATATACACCATGTCAATGGAACTAAATGAACAATCTAAATTTCAAGTAGGCTTACCTCATACTCTTCGTCGTCACTATACCCTGGATCGTACGGGTCCTTGAACCCGGTAAGGTCCAGCTTCCTCTTATTCCCCCAACCATCATCCTCCTGAATATACAATTACATCCATCACTAGTAAATACAGAAGCCAATTGAAAATTTAGATATGCACACATGACACATTGATCATAGGGATAATATACTATGATCCTATTTGCATTTTCCATTGTCCTGCACACAAATTGAACAACAGAGCTAATATAACTACATATTTTGGACAAATTTATATACTAGTGAATCAAATAACTTCTTAATCAATGGATTCCATTTGGGCATATGACATTCAAAACCCCAATCTGCGTGGCATTCAAAAAAAAATCTAATAGGGACCCAATCTAATAAGCATACATGTCTGTAGCATTAAAAAACCCAATCTTTGTAGCATTAAAAACAAATCTAATAAGCATATATCTGTGTAGCATTGAAGCACAGAGATCCCTATCTCTCATACAGATCTATCTAGCATTTTTAAAATGAATGTAATCCAAAAAAACTAGTACAAAAACCCCCATCCCCTCCATAAAGAAAACCCCGACCCATCCATCCAACCAACTACTCTAACCGTCTGTACTATTGTACGAATCACAATCTAACCAATGCAACTAACTCTACAAGCTAATATCCTAAATATTGCAACTAACAAGCAAGTGCAAATACCTCCTGCTCCTCGCCAGGCTGTGCATCAGGATGGACTGTGCCGCTCGACGCCGTCGCCATCTTCTCTGGCAGTGCTGAGGTGGAGCCCGCCACCTCTTTCTCCACATCCGCAGCGGTTGCGAGTTGACCCGCACCACCGTGGACGCCGCCAACGTCCTTCACTTCATCCATGGTCACTGCGCCCTGCAACTCCACTACATCTCCGTCCGCTGCGCCGGCGTCACCACGAGCGTCTGCCATCGGACAGATGGAGGTGATGAAGGTGAGGAAGAGGATGTGGTGGGGCAGAGCGAGACAGTGCAGTGGAGGCAGTGGAGGAGAGCGATATGACACGGTGGGGGAGAGGAAGATGATGCGACAGGAAGGAGATTTGGGGGAAATGGTAGGGCGATGCGCCAGGAGGTGGTTCCCCCTCTTTATATGATCATACGTTTTGGGCATGTCCCATGGACATGTGCTACCCCACGACCACGGTCAGTTGCATGTGCCCATGTATACGAATACCACTGTACGGTCATCATATGAAACCACTATATGGATTCCAGGGCGGCGCGGGAGCGGCCCCACTCGTCAGAGTTAACGGTCAAAGGTGGACTCGGCCCTACATGGACCCACTCATCAGAGTTAACGATCAAAGGCATTGACCCGACGACAATATCTATTGTAACCTATTCTGAGGGATTCGGGCAAGGGAGTGGGGAAAAGTGAGCAATAGTTAAGAGCGTGGGGATGAATGAGTACAACTAACAAACTAGGGGCACAGACGTAAAAAAACCCTTTATTTATGATTGCTAACATTCAAGTTTGCAGGATCCAACTGAAACTCCGTTGGCACAATAGGTATGTTTTCAAAAACTTCCTTGTTTACCTGGTTTGCTGCTGTAATTTGTTGTTGTACTCATCTTACCAACTTCAAGTTTTTAGGATCCAATTGGAAGCCCAATTGCACAGCAGGTACATTTTCGAAAATATATTTGTGTAACAGGTTTGCTGCTGTAACTTGTTTCTCTAATCAAGTTACTGACTACTCAACTTTTCAGGATCCAAGAGAAACTCCAATGGCAAAAAAGGTTCCTTTTGCAAATCTTCTTTGTTTAACTGCTTTGCTGCTACAACAGGTTGCTCTAATCATGTTACTGGATACTCAACTTTTCAGGATCCAAGAGAAACTCCAATGCCACAACAGGTACCTTTTGCAAAACTTTTTTGGTAACTTCTTTGCTGCTACAACCGGTTACAATGATGTTAATAACTACTTTTCAGCATCAAACTGAAACTCTTTAATTCCTTTTTTGTTTACCTACTTTGATATTCTAACTCCCAGTTGAGATGTTTTGCTAACTTCAACTTTTCGGAATCCGATCGGAACTTTAATGGCAAAATAGGTTAGCACAAGATCAAAGAGCGAGGTCACCATTGACGTTGTATCATCCACAGTAGTGGCACTGGCCCAATCGTTCATCATGAATTTCCAACTACTGATGCTCTAGAGGCTAAACTATTGGTAGAAAGAGATTTTGCTTCTTGATTTAAAGATGGAGTTGACATGTTGAGGAAGCAAACAACACAATCACAAGCAGTACTCAAGACAACCATTAAATATTTGGTGGATTTCAAAACGAAGCAAGCTGAGACTGACGGCATTGTTAAGGTCCTGAAGGAAAAAAGGAAATTAAATTCCCACTTGGTAAATCATAGGTGAAATGTTTTTTCCATTGTTGAATAACCTTTATTTTGTGTTGTTTGTTCATGTAATCAATCAAACCATTTGTTTTAGATATCTTGTAATAATTGTTTTTTGTTATTTGGTTTGTAATTTCTTTAGCACAAGTCTATATTAATTTATAAGACTCTGAGACATTTCATTTTGATTATGCCAGACCTACAAATATGCCAGTCAGGTTGAATGTGCATTCAGCAATAATAGTAGTATAGATGGTCCTTAAGTGGCACACATTTGAAAGGGCCAAGATCTTGTACTAGCTTCGCTAAAAAATGATGTTCTTCTAGCAAAAAAAGTACAGCACCCTGGCTTATGTATGTTAGTTGATATTATTGATCCATATACTCTATAAGTGTTTATATGTCTATTAGTTCTGTACATTATTTGTTGATTGACTCGGTATTTTGAATCTTGAGAAATCGCTTGTGTACATATCTAAATGGGAGTACACATTATGCTGCGTGTGACACTTGAGTTGGACATAAAGTGGTTTCAAATATTCGAATTCACCTTAAACCGGATTCTAGCTTTTGTATTCGAGTATCATCATTTGTAAATCATATTCATATATGACAGTGGAATACGTCTTTGTTGTGCTTTTGAAGATATATAAAAACACATAGAATGATTTATAAAAATTCATATAATAATAAAAAATGGATTCGAATTTAGTTGCTAGGGTAAACGTGGATGCTTATTGTCCCAAAATTTGAAAGAGGCGGCAAAATATCCACTCCCACGTCGGCTGCTCGAAGCCAGTGTTTGCAAGATGGGAATTACTGTCTACCCCTTACACGGACAATCCATCAGCCTGATTTCCACTGCTCTCAATAGGGGTAGGTTAGTACCTTCAATTAGACGTGACACGACTGCCTATGAGCCCATTTAGACATGGTGGGTGCCAAACGTGGGTGGCAAAACACATTTGATTCAAGCTTGTCCGAAAGAGCTCAGTCTCTCCCTCCATTTCCCCATTCATACACGGTGGGCGGCTAAACAAACTTGACTTGGCCGAAATCGATGTAGGCAAATTTTTTCAATAGGGGCAGGTTTGTAAGTTCACTTAGACATAACACAACCGCCCTACCTGTCAGCTCTGTTCATACATCGTGGGAGCCAACTGTGAGTGCCAAAACACCCTCTCCTCGCCTGAAATCGCTCTGGGCAAATATTGGGGAGATGTGAGATTACCATCCTATCCCCAACCAACGACACATCCAAATTTTAAACGGGGTTTAAGTTCGTAACTTTCCCATATTTCAAACACGCGTGTCCCAAAAACATGGTTCCCCGTACCCTCTCCGTCCATTTTCCCATTCACACACCGTTCGCGCTAGAACACCATCCCCGCACCAGCCTCCTCCGTCCGCCACCCCATCCATCGTCGTCGCCTCCACTCCATCCATCGCCGCCGTCCTCCACCATGCCAGAGCGCCTACCAAGACTGCATCCTCCACTGCTAGAGATGGACGTTTCTCATCCACGGCGACGGACCAGGAGCCTTGCATCACATCCTCTCGCTTCATTGGCATCATCGTCCTCCTTGCCAGGGCCACTCCCATGACCTTATCGTCCACCACAATGGGACTTATCCCCTAATGCACCCGTCTACCATCGCAGATCTGCTTCAATGCCACCGATAGCCATCACACCCCTGATGCCTACACGGCGCCGCAAGAGAGGTGGTACTTCATATCTGCTCAACTTTTTGATCTCAACCAGAAAATAGATCGTAACTTGGTTACTGTACTTTATTTTCAGCTCTTAGAATTTAGTTGTTAGTTCGAAGAAAACAATGGTTGCTATATAGCATTTCTGCGGTTTGCAACTTCAAATGTGCCATGGCACAGTCATAATAGTGTTTAATTGATCATGCTTAGGGTTTCCTCCCTTTTATGATCACTATACGATCAGCATACGTGCTTCGTGTCATAATAGCACTGCTCCACCAATCAAGCTAAACAAAGTTGTTTAATTGGTCAGCTAAATGTTCCTAACTTAGTTTCGAAAATGCATGTACGCCGCTCGGGTGTGGATCTACAGGTTGCCCATGGTGGGCCGCAGCCCACCCTAGGATTTTGGGTCAGTCCAGGCCCCGATTCCTCGGATGGCATGCCTCTAGGAGGAGAATGCCGGACTAACAGGAGGTCAGGAGCCGCTCGCCAAACAGCGTCACCACTGCCCAGGCGTGCCGCCGTGCCTACCTTCCCAGTCCGTTCAGGGCTCAGGCATGCAGCGGCCACTAAGCCAACCCGATTTATCCTGAGATACGTCCTCAACACTCAGCAGCCACTCATCGTCACCCATTTTCTAATTGATTCATTACTCATTAGGCAGGACTGTCATTAGGGTTTGTTGTGTACTGAGTGCTACCTACACTTAATGGTTCAGATGTATTTTAGTAATCTTTAGTAGCTATAAAGTTCACAAGGTTTCCAAACTCTGGCCCTAGGAACAGACACTAGCCATTTTGGATTGTTGGTCATAGTGACATTGACCCAAATTACTACTACGGGCCAGGTTTGTTGACAATTTTACTTGTCTTTCTTACTCATTAGATATGATATCCAATTATTGACGTTGATTAGTTGCAACCAATAAGTGCTAGACCAACTTCTGGATTTAGATTTAGGACGGTCTCTTACTACAGTTACAATTCTGCGTACTTCTCCTTGTAATCTCACAAGTAATGATTGATTCACAACCTCTATGCCTGCCTTGTCATATTTTTTGTCAATATTCTTTTATGGTGGACCACCCTGTTTCAAAATACTAGAACCACAGACATGAGTGAATAGTATTTCTCTGTGTGATATCTTCCATCATGTGTGGGCAACGAACAGTACATTGTATAGAAAGAAAGTGTCATATCCACTGAGGGAGTCCTGGATTAGGGGGTCTCCGGACAGCCGGACTATATCCTTCGGCCGGACTGTTAGACTATGAAGATACACGATTGAAGACTTCGGCTCGTGTCCGGATGGGACTCTACTTGGTGTGGAAGGCAAGCTAGGCAATACGGATATGGATATCTCCTCCTTTGTAACCGACCTTGTGTAACCCTAACCCTCTCCGGTGTCTATATAAACCAAAGGGTTTTAGTCCGAAGGACAACGACCACAACATACAATCATACCATAGGCTAGCTTCTAGGGTTTAGCCTCTCCGATCTCGTGGTAGATCTACTCTTGTACTACCCATATCATCAATATCAATCAAGAAGGACGTAGGGTTTTACCTCTATCAAGAGGGCCCAAACCTAGGTAAAACATTGTGTCCCCTGCCTCCTGTTACCATCCGGCCTAGACACACAGTTCGGGACCCCCTACCCGAGATCCGCCGGTTTTGACACCGACATTGGTGCTTTCATTGAGAGTTCCGTTGTGCCGTCGCCATCAGGAAGGATGCCTCATCCCGTCTTTAAAGACGGCACTATTGTTGAGGGAGCTTTGGCTATCGGCCAAACTCTCCGGCTAGGTGGTTTTCTTATGACCACCTGTTCAGCCGCCGCGCCGAT